TATATCCGGCCAAGCACTGTCACTCCATCAGTGTTCCCCACAAACAGAGTATTAACGTTTTTCTAAAGAAAATCAGTTTTACATGGTCCATTGGCCATCGAAACTCGGGATCAGTCTTATTTTTTAAATCGTAACTAATGCAGATAAATTTAGCCATTTCTGATATTTGCCACATATCTGCATTTTTCGATAACAACATACAGCCAGTAAGTTATCGATTGACAATCAGCCTTTCCCTTCTCTATGCTGAATAACATGTGTCAGCTGCAATCAGCTGATGAAACAAAAACAAAAGTTGTGTTCGAGCAAACGTCCATTGAAAATAAACCAGTAATGATGTTTCGGAAAATTATGTGCTATTCCCTCTCAAATAGAAAATCATACCAATTTGTGCGTGAAATCAAAACTTGCGTAAGTATGATTAATTCGTTGTGTACATGTAAAACCATCAAAGGAACACAATAAAACGTGTACATTTATGGAGTTTTGGAACAATATATTGAATTAGCATTTAGTTGTCTTTGGTTGATACAATTTTTCATTTTTGGTCATTTTGCTATCTTTAATTCTAGGTAATTCATTACCAACCGCAAGTTACATTTTCTTGTATGTTAATGCTTTTCCAGTTAAAATCTCGAATGTCGCTTCCAAATTAACTGTCACTTTGCACTCTAATAAACCTTATCATTTGCGACAATTATTGCCGATTATTTGCCTCGCGAACACTGCTTAAGTGTAGGCAATACAAAAACTTGTTGATTACAATAGGGGTATTCTCTGAGTCTTGCAAACCCCTTGCGCGGAGCACGGTTTGCAAAGTTGTCCCATACGAAAAGCGGCTATTCCGCGCGATCTGTGCACCGTGCAAGGGCTTTGCAAGACTCAGAGAATACCCCTAATTTATTTTTCTTCGCTGCATACTGATTAGTTGAAGTGCAATAAAAACCATTGGACAAATAAATACGCGACCACAGCAAAAAAGATAAACGTTATTGGGAATGAAATCCAGTTGCGGTCCGAAATTGTAACTATACACACGTAAGTGATAATATAGGTATAAAGATTGTAGTTGCATACATTATTACATATTTTTTTGCAGAACAAAGCAAGTGAGTTCACGAAAAATGGCTTCCTTTCGTATGGGTCCAACAACGCACTCTGTGCCAATGTCCCTGTTTCAGAAAAATCGGCAGAAGACGGCTGCTGCTTTGAGGGAACACGGTTCGGTAAAGTCCAAGTCATACGTTCTTCTCGCTGGCGGAGATGATGTTAGTTTCAACGATACGGATATCAGCTACCTCTTTCGTCAAGAATCTTATTTTCAATATATGTTTGGAGTAAAAGAACCTGGTTGCTATGGAGTGCTGGAAGTAGATAGCGGCAAGTCAACTTTATTTGTACCCCGCTTACCCGAAGAGTATGCAACTTGGATGGGAAAGTTGTATGCTTTGGACGAATTCAAGCAAATGTATGAAGTTGACGAAGTGCGGTATGTTGATGAGTTAAATGCATTCTTTGAAAGCGCACATCCATTACTCATCCTTACCTTGAGTGGCCTTAATACGGATAGTGGTTTAGTCTCGAAGCCAGCACGTTTTGAAGGCATTGAAAAATTTGTGGTCGATTGCGATCTGCTTCATCCGGTGATTGCCGAATGTCGCGTTATCAAGTCCCCAGAAGAGATTGAGGTACTGCGTTACGTGGCAAAGGTTTCTTCTGATGCACACATTCGCGTTATGCAGTTTATGCATCCGGGTCGTTCGGAGTATGAAGGCGAAGCGGTATTTTTGCATCATGCCTATGCTGTAGGCGGTTGCCGACATGCATCGTACACTTGCATTTGCGGCAGTGGTGTGAATTCAGCCGTGCTACATTATGGTCACGCAGGTGCGCCAAATGATGGACCCGTACGCGACGGTGACATGTGCCTCTTTGATATGGGTGCAAACTATTGCGGCTATGCAGCTGACATAACATGTAGCTTTCCAGCCAATGGTAAATTCAACGAAGATCAGAAATTAATTTACAATGCTGTTTTGGCTGGACGCAACGCAGTCTTGCAGGAAGCTCGTGATGGTGTCTCATGGGTAGATATGCACAAGTTGGCTTGTCGTGTTATGCTACAAAAACTGAAGGATGGTGGCATGCTTAAAGGCGAAGTGGATGATATGCTGGAGGCTGGTTTAGCTGGCATTTTCCAACCGCATGGTCTGGGACATCTGATTGGTTTGGATGTGCACGATGTTGGCGGCTATATAGCAGGACAACCAAGTCGGCCCGGCGAACCGTGGCTAAGTAAACTTCGCTTCGCGCGCACTCTCAAAGCAGGGATGTACGTGACCGTCGAGCCAGGTTGCTACTTTATCGAATACCTAATGGATCGTGCACTTGCTGATCCGAATTTAAATAAGTTTATTGTTGTCGAGGTATATGAACGTTTCCGCAAGTTTGGCGGTGTACGCATTGAGGACGATGTATTGATTACCAAGGATGGGTGTGAGAATTTCGCCATAGTACCACGCACAGTAGAGGAAATCGAAAAGACGATGGCTATTCGCAAGGAGTGAGAACTAACGTGTTGCTTTGGAATATCTTTTCCCTTTATCTCTTCTGTTATATATTGATTGTTTCAAATAGTAACATGTGATAATCCCAATTGTAGATTAGATTACGTATGATTTATATATGAAACAATAACTACATGCTTTATCTCGTATCTATGTACATATTAACTACTGCTAATTTACAATATGTACATGTATTTTTATTTACTACATTTACACTTATTGAATAAAAGTCAAATTATCTAAAATGGCAACTATGGTCAAGACTTAATAATCTACACCATACCATCCTTTATTGGTAGCGGTTGGTAAAATATTACTGATGTAGACAAAAGGCTCGTTCTAGCATTGCCATGTAACTGAAGTAAGGGACCCAAATGGATATTTAGTTTGATTGCGGGTCTATTCTGGATATTAAAAGTTAAACATAAATAAGCGGCATACAATTGCAGCAGTTACACGGTTCATAAAATCCAAAGTTTCCTTCCAGATTTGCCAATACAACTAAGTCCTACTACTTAGTACCCAAACGAGTTCATTATTTTTCGTACTTCGACTTCGTTGGTATGTTTAATGAGATGCCCTGAGCATTTGTATTTTGTTTTCTGTACAAAAATTTAAGTAATTGAATGTTTTTTTTTTCGACTCAAAATCTTGTATCCTTAGCTTCAGTGACCTATCTTTATACATAATTGAACTCGATAGACGTTATAACGGTTACAAGTCGATTAAATCCATTTTACATACACGCCGACCACTTGGGCAGGTAAGGTAGAACACAAGTTCGATAATTATAGTCCACAATATCCTGAAATGGCCTGAACGACCAGTCGAAGCATTTGATACAGTTAACTATATCCCAAAGCACCCAGACTCGTCGTTACTATACCGGACGAAACGGATGACAAACTATCTGTGTGAACGTCAATCGTTAGTCAAATTCTGAAGTATTAAGCCCAAGCCGCGTAGAATTAATGAAAAGGTAATCTACACAACATTTAACATATACATGACCAAATCAGTGAGCTATGCAACGATTGCCTAATCATAGCGATGGCTCAACACTTACGACGCGAAATCCACCGCCACACTTTTCGCCATGTTGACCCAGGAGATTAGATCACTACCTGTGGAAGAGACGGAGCTTCAACTACCTAGAGAGACCCGCGTTACCCTGGCTCAGTTACGGTCTGGATATTGTAGCCGCCTAAACAGCTACCTGTCCAGACTCGACCCAAACATCCCAAATGAATGCCCGGCATGTGGAGACTCCCCCC